CTTCCGGTTTTTTGGTGGTTAATTGGAGATCAGAGTCTCACCGGCTTTCCTGCCAGGGCTGGCCTTGAACTGTGATCCTCAGATCTCAGCCTTTTGAGTAGCTAGGATTATAGACATGAGCCATCGGTGCCTGGCTAGACTATTTGAATAAATGATGCAGTGATTGATACTGGTAGAGGAACGGGCTGAGCGAAAGAATGCTCCACAGGGTAGAATGTGGTCCTGGGGGTGCTTTGGCAGGATTATCAGGGTGTCCTTTAGTTTTCTGGGTTTCTCAGTCTTGCCTTAGGTCTACTGAATCAGAATTTGGGGAGACTAAGGCCCTGAATCTGTTTTTGCAAAGGAAGTCTTACTGTAATTCGTGTGCATAATGAAAAGCTGAAAATTAGCTGGTCTAGAGGGTCTAGACAATGAAAATTATCTTAGTCCAGTGTGTTCAGAGGCTTTCCTCTTACAGATTTCACTTTCGATGGTAATCTCCACAGCATTCCAGTGAAATGATGTAACCTTCATGAAATTTAATCATGTCAACACCAAGTTGTTTTAAAGTATTATCATATTTGTCTAGCGACAACAAATTGATTGAGGCCTGATGGCTTGATACTTGATGGCCATCACTGAACTGATCTTTTGTTCCCCTGGTCTGCTAGTTCACATGCATTAACCAATTATTTGCAATAACTAGTATATGTCTGAGGCAGGCAGAAACGGTCAGATAAGTTGATGTTAGGCGAAATGAACCCCAAGATAAGGACTCAAATGGTTTTTCTTTCTTGCTATTGTTTCTAACATATTTATAAGATGATTTCTTTGCTTTGTATGTCCCTCCTCCACGATATAACCCCGTTTTCACCGTATTTGATGTTGGTGTAATTTGTGGAGGGGAAGGGAAAAAACAAATCGTTTAAATAGGGATACAGGTGGACCTATTGCAACAATGAGATGCACAAGACGTTATGCTGAAAAACAAACTTTACAACTTTGTGGGGCGGGGAGATGGGAGGTCAAGCATGGTAAGGGGAAACAAAGGAGGAGACAAAAATGCTTAATAAGAAATGTACTCATTTCCTTGCTCATGTAATTGTAATTCCTCTGTATGGTATTTTCACAATAAAAAAAACTTATTAATAAAAAAAAAAGAAAATAGGAAGTTTACTAAAAGCCAGGAGTTACAGCTATTTTTCAGTTGCATGTGGCGTCGGGGCTTTGTGTATTGCATTGTATGCTATATAATTTGGCCATCTCCTTTACTTGTAAACTAATTTGGTGGTGGAGGAATTGAATCTGTTTGCAGGGATTTGAAATTGTATGTCTAAAACTATAGAATCTTAAGTTTTCTTTTTCTATAACGCTAAGAAGTTGTAGGTTTTAAGAAAGTTCCCCTAGTTGCTTCCATTTAATAATCCCTCAATTCTCTACTTGGAGTTGATGCCAGAAAAATCTACTCATGAACTGGATGGATGAGTATAGCTCCTGTTTCCCACCACTGCAAGAAAGTGATGAGCTGTGGTTCCAAAACAGAGCTACTTCATTTATAAAAAGTATCTTGGCTAACCGACCATTTAAACTATACTTGAAGAACCAAGTGTTTGTGTATGTGTAATAAAGTTTTGTTTCCTTTTAAATTAAGGATACTACCTTATAGTTTTATGTCTATAAGTGATAGGTTGAATTTCAGAGAATTGTTTGAAAATTTTAAAGTCAGTCATTTTCTCTTTCTCTCTCAGCAATTTAAATTTTACAAATCAACTTTGTCTTATGACTGTATAGGCCAAATTAGCGGGACTTGGACACAATGAAACACTATAGTGAAAAACTTGAATTTAATATTAACATTCCCATAGCCCTTATATATGACTATATAAGATGATGCTAAACGAAATGAACCCCAAGATAGGGATACAGAGGTTTTATCTTTGTTGCTGTTGTTTTTTAATGTACTTTTAATAATATACTGTGATTTTTGTTTCTCTTGTGTGTTCCTCCCTCATAGTATAACCCCTGTTTTCACTGTATTTGATTCCGGTGTCCTGTATCTTGTATATACATTTTTCTAATTTGGGGAGGGGAAGGGAAATAACAAAAAGCTGAAATAAGGATACAGGCTGACCCATTGTAACAATGGGTCAAGATACTGTTGAAAACAAACTTTGGAACTTTGTGGAGGTGGAGGGAGGAGTTGGGGAAGTAAGGAGGGAAAGGATCCTAGCGGAAAAACAAAGGAGGGGGTAACAATGCTAGATAGGAAATATACTCATTACCTTTCTCATGTAACTGTAACCCCTCTATACAGTATCTTTACAGTAAAATATATATATTAAAAAATAAAAAATAAATAAAAACAATCACATAGCCCAACAAAAGTTTACTGCTTGGTATAACTTCACACTTTATCACTAAGTGTTTAGTGTTAATGGCTATTTCCCTCAGGTTTAAAGTAATCTAAGTCATTGGACATTATAGTTCTTAGGGGAAATTAGAAGGGCTTAGATCTATTCAGAGTTTTAGTGTTAGCATGTCTTAGTAGTTTAAGATTGTAAACAAATAACTATAGTCACCATTCTTTAGAAAGTGACACCTTGAAGTGCAACCTATTCTCAGATCTGTTTTCCAGCTACTTCAGTTAGCTAATGTCTCTCGTCTTGTCATGGGCCTTTGAATTTCCTGTCATTTTATGCCCTTCTGGCTTTTCTTGGTGTGGTAAGAATCAATAATGGGGTGTTTTCCAAAAGAGAAGGAATAATGAACTTGACCTTAGCTAGCCTTTTGCTTTTTCTCTCCTCAGATTCTTGTACTTTTCACAACCAAATCCAGGACTTTTATTTTTCTCTTAGTTAACCCTATGTTCTGTTTTGACTCATCACAAGTTCTTTTGGAAAAATTTTGCATAAATTTGGGTTGTAACTAGGCTATGTATATGCCTAACAGTGGAAAAACAGACCAAGCCCATATCAAATTAATTGAATCCTTTCAAAAGTTAGACCCACAAAAATAATTTTAAGAGTTAAAAAAGAACAACGAACATTATGAAAGCTGTTAGCCTTGTGTTACCTCTGTTTTTAGGTGAGAGTACTTTTAATTTAAAAGGCTGCCCAACTTTAGGCTTTGAAGATACATAAAAATGTTTTCTTGCATTTTTACATCTTCTGGTTTTATATTATGCAACTTTCTCTCCCTGTTTTCATATCGACTACTTTGCTTTCTGTAACTTCTATACAGGTTTTACATCATAAATCTGACATAGTCCCTACTATCATTCTCTCTAAAAGTTGTTTTATTTTCATGGCCTCTCTCCTTTTTTTTTTTTTTTTTTTAAAGTAATATCATTGCTTTAACAGCACTTTCTTGAGGCAACTCATACTAGTTTTTTGTGAATACTTTCCTTTTGTGAAAACATTTGATTATTCTAAATAGAATTTAAGCCTTATCCTTAATTGTCTTAGCTTTTTAAGTATTAGACCACTTTACATGCTATTGTCTGAACTTACCTATATCCCACTTTTCTTGTCATAGGGGCTTGACTCATTTCAGGAGTTGTAAGAGTGTCTGGAGTGAGACTCCTGAATGTAAAGTAATAAGAGAGATGTAGTTAACCAGAAAAGATGTAATGGGCTGAAAACTTCTATTGATGGATGGCAAGCAAGGGTAGAGAAGAGAACTACAGAAGTCCCATCTCTCTATCTTTGAGAGCTCTGTAATTGTGGTAGAACTCACCTCTAGAATGACATTTTATATTCTTGCTAAGCATGATACCATGCTTAATGACTATTGTACATGCTTGTTAATTTCAGAGGCTGAAAAGAATATTATCAAAAGCATATTCTGTACCCTACAATTAGACACTAACCTATACATGTCATGTCTTTCTTATTCCAGGGTCAAAGTAAGCCATTTTAATTCAACAAACAGTTCTATTTAGAATCTAGCTTTGTAGTCAGTAGTAGTCATTAATATGGCTATATTTTTATGATATATGCAAAGGTTTTGTTTCCTCCAGCTGCTTGTTTTCTGTTGCATTCAAAGAAGGAACATCTCAATGAAAGAGAATCTGGAATAGTGATTTACATTGTATAGATTTTAAATTAGGATCATAATTGAAGTGGAGTCATGATTATAAAAATGTATTTCAGTATATAGATATGAATGACATTTTATTCCATTCAATAAATGTTTGATGTAACTCTGTGCCACTTATTCTATTAGATGATAATTGTTCACCTGTCCTTTTATAATAATTAAAAAAATAGATCTATTTTCCTGTTTAGGAAACGCTTGACTCTTTTGCTGGTCTTTGAACTACCTAATGCTCCAAAGAGTTTCCAAAATCTTTTCAGATTTATAGAACACTTTTTGCTTGAATACTTTTCACTTTTGAACTCCACTTGGTGGGAAATTAATTTATTCATTTTCTAAAGTGGTCTTATGTTTGTCTACCAAGGAAATCATCAAAAGGGTTCTCAAATCAGCTAGCAATGAAATTGAAAATTGTCTACTGTCACCACTGGTGATAAATCAAAGTGATGTTAAAGATGCAAATAGTCATTCTAGTACATTCTTCTTCGTTACTTGAATTGTTTAAGTTAATTAAGCCAGCAAAGTACTTCATTATCAATTATGTGACATACTAATCATACATTCAAAGTTTCAATGAAAATTTTTTGAAAGTTATATTTCAATCTTTATATGTATTGTGTTCTAAGTCTGTATATTTAATTATGATAATACTATTAATTTGGAAAGTGTATTTATGGTTACGTCAGCTAGGTTTCTAGCTGTAACATTCACAAATCCAAGCAATTTTACTATGTATTTGAAACTTTCATGTTAGTCAACTTTTGTTCATCTTTGTGAAATTAAAACAATATATAATGCATTTTTATTAAACTGTCAAGAATTTAATTACCTTTAAGTTAATATTGTAGAATTTTAACTGCACTATTAACTAAAATAAAGAAGCTAATATAAATTACTGATTGATGTTTTTTTTTTTTAATTTGCAGCATTTGAATATTAGGACACTGACAGATGATATGGTAAGGTTATCTTCAACATTACTTTTTGTTAGAATTTTAACTAACCATATAATGTTCCTTGTGTGCTGGACTAATACCTTTGAAATTCCTAAAAACTACATATAAGTTGGAAATGCTATAGTGATCAAATCAGAGACAGAACTAGTGAAATAAATTAATCATTGCTTTAGTAGTCAATCTTAATTTGCAAATTGTTAGTTAACTTTGAGTAATTCAAATCAGCTCTCATTCTTTGGGGATGAATTGAATACTTCAAAAAGAGAAAAAAAGATATGCTATCTTTTCAGGAATATATAGTTTCTAATTAAAGTAAATCTGTACATATTTTTGAAATTTTATTAAAAAACGAGAAGCAGGCATACCTTACTATGTATTCTTCATGGTGTTAATAGTAGGGTCTCTCAGAAGTAATATTGCAAATAATTATATGTACAGATACTTGCATAGTCAGGTAAATATTTCTGAGGAATATATTTTTGAATGCAATTCATGGATAATAGTGAAGGAATAGCAATGAACACAGTAACAAACTTTAAATAAAGAATAACATCAAAAATATATAATCATGACATAGAGAAAAATTCTATATCCCATTGACCAGGTTTTGAATTTGGCCTTACCATATATTAGCGTTAGGCCAGGCACCTAGAACATGATAAACAGTCTGACTCCCACTTTTTGTGTCCAGGGTGCTGCCTTTGGCATCTGGGTAATGTGGACATGTAAAGATGAATGTGGCATAAACGTGAATGATTTAACAGTGGAAATTTTGATGCTTCTCTCTGAATAGTAACTAAGAAAGTGACTTTTATGTAAATTTTTTGTTTGGCTATGGCAATATCTAAAAATTTGTTTAGATGCACTGTGTTTCCTAACAATATGGATATGTTCTTGGAGTGCTTTATTAGGTGATTTCATCATTGTAGGAGCATGAGGGGGTACACACAATCCTGGAAGATACAGCCTGCTGCACAGAGCCAGTTATATAGCTATATCCATTGTCTGTGTAGCCCTTCATTGATGGAGACATCTTGTAGAGGCTGATGGACTAGTGTTTAGAAAATAATGACCATATGCTTGGCATGTTTATTTATTGCCTTGAAAAGATGTTTGGCCTTATTTATAGTTGAGGACACTGAGATACGGAGATTGAGATACAATCATGTAACATTTAGTTCACCCATTGAAAGTGCATAGTACAATCATTTTTGATATATTCATAAATTGCTCAACTCTTATGAATTGAACTATGAATTTTTGTGTAGATATAAGAATTGGTCTGTACAACCAGTTTTAGAACGTTTTCATCCTCCATAAATATTTCATAACCATAAAGATTTTCTCCCCATTTTCTCTGAGCTCACCTATCTCTGGTATCCCTGAGGTGCCCCATGTCTATTTCTGGTCTCTATAGATGTGCCTACTTCAGACATTGCATGAAAATGGAACAATATTTGGGATTGTCTTCTTTCATTTAGCATAATGTTTTTAAGCTACATCCATTTGCTCCATTCCTTTTTATTGCTGGATAATATTCTTTGTATTTTTGAGGTTTGTTTATATTTTGTGAGCACTCTGCTTTTTTCTGTTCCAAACACTGACACTCCTTTCATTATGTGACTATTTTTTCACACTGTAAATGCATAAACTTTACCTAGGTTTTACAAACACAGTCATGGAGTGGCTTCAGCAGAAACCATCTTGCTCTCTTTTATATTATAAGGGGAGGTTCTTCTCCCTTCTTTCTCCTTCCTACTCCTATTTCTTACCTCTAATGCTGTCCTGACAATGGACCATGGTAATGTCAGACTTTTGGTAACTAATGGGTATTTACCACGACATCATTTATCTGTCTTTCTCACTGGTATAAACCACTGAAGGCTAAGACAGTGTGTAACTAATGCTTCTAGTACTTGTCATATTTGACATGTAGTAAACATTTGAATTATTTGTTGTTGAGAACCTTTTGCCTGACTTTGTGGCAATCTTCCTGGTTGGCCACCATTTCCTCATCCTTGCTTTTGTTTTTTTTTTTTTTTAAATTTAATTTTATTTGTGAACATACTGTACAGAGGGGTTACAATTACATGGGCAGGATAATGCGTACATTTCTTACTAAGCATTGCAGCCTCCTCCTTTGTTTACCCTTCACCTCCCTTCCCCCCAACCCCCCCCAATCCCAATCCATCCCCCCCCCCCCCCCCCGCCCCCCTCCGCACCGACGTTGTAAAGCTCGTTTTGGACATGACAACTTGTACTTCTCATTGTTGCAACAGGTCCACCTGTATCCTTAAACAACTGGTTTTTCCCCATCTCCTCCACAAGTTATACTGACATCAAATATAGAGAAAGTAGGGGTTATACTGTGGGGGAGGGACATACAAAGCAACAAAGAGATAATCTTATAAATGAAACACATGCATGAAAGAAAAAAAACATTAAAATACATATCTAAGGGTTCATTTTCCTGACATCACATTATCTGACCTTTTCCACTTGACTCATACATATACTAGATATTGCAAATAAGGGAAACCATGGGACCTATGTTTCTTTGGGCCTGGCTTACTTCACTTAATATAATTTTTTCCAAGTTTTTCCATTTCCTAACAAATGGGGCAATGTCATTCTTTCTGATGGAGGCATAGAATTCCATTGTGTATATATACCACATTTTCTTGATCCATTCATCTACTGAGGGGCATCTGGGTTGGTAAATAATGCTGCAATAAACATAGTTGTGCTGGTAGCTTTAGTGTGGTCTTGTTTGTAAACATTTGGGTAAATGCCCAAAAGTGGGATTGCTGGGTCATAGGGGAGTTCTATGTGAAGTCTTTTGAGGAACCTCCATACTGCTTTCCAAAGTGGTTGAACAAGTTTACATTCCCACCAACAATGAAGTAAGCTTCCTTTCTGTCCACATCCCCTCCAGCATCTGTTGTTGTTAGAGTTCTTGATTTTTGCCATTCTAACTGGAGTGAGGTGATATCTCAATGTTGTTTTGATTTGCATTTCTTTTATGGCTATGGATGTTGAACATTTCTTCTTGTGTCTATTGGCCATCCTTCTTTCTTCTTCAGAGAAGTTTCTCTTTAAGTCTTTCGCCCACTTATTTATTGGGCAGTTGTTTCTTTGAGGATTTGTTGTTGGGGGGTTTAATTTTTGAGTTCCAAGTATATTTTAGATATGAGACCCTTGTTCGTTGTATGGCGAGTAAAGATCTTCTCCCAATCCGTGGGCTTTCTATTGATCTTGCTAGCTATGTCCTTTGCCATGCAGAAGCTCTGCAACTTTATGCAATCCCATTTGTCCAACCTTTCTTTGATTTGTTGTGTTTCCGGGTCTCTATTCAGAAAATTTCGGCCTGAGCCAAAGAGACCTAGGGTTTCTCCCATTCCATCCTGTAATGTTTTCAGAGTGTCTGCTTTGACTCTGAGGTCTCTGATCCATTTGGAGTTGATTCTGGTGCAGGGTGAAATATAAGGATCTAGCTTTAGTTTTCTACATGTAGTTAACCAATTTTGCCAGCACCATTTACTGAAGAGGCTGTCTTTCTTCCATTCTATTGTTTTAGGTCCCTTATCGAAGATTAGATGGCTATAGGTCTGTAGGTTCATTTCTGGGTTTTCAATTCTATTCCATTGGTCCTGAGGTCTGTTCTTATGCCAATACCAAGCTGTTTTGATTACTATGGCTTTATAGTAGAGTTTGAAATTTGGTATTGATATTCCTCCAGCAGTGTTCTTTCCGTTGAGGAGCGTTTTTGCTATTCGGGGTCTTTTATTGTTCCATATGAATTTTTGGATTGACTCTTCTATTTCCTTGAAGAATGAGGTTGGAATTTTGATAGGTATTGTGTTGAATTTGTAGATAGCCTTGGGAAGTATTGCCATTTTCATGATGTTAATCTTTCCAATCTAGGAGCATGGGAGGTTTTGCCATTTTTTAAGTTCTGTGTTGATTTCCTTTTTCAAGATTTTAAAGTTTTCATCATAGAGGTTCTTCACTTCTTTGGTTAATTCCTAGGTATTTTATTTTTTGTGGGGCTATTACAAATGGAGTTGCTTTCTTAATTTCAGCCACACTTTTCTCATTGTTGCATATCCTTATCCTTGCTTTTGTCTTAGATGTGCTAATGATTATCTCCTGCATTCCTTGCTGATCTTCCCATTCTGTTCTTTTCTGATCTTGTGTGGTAGCTTTTTTCTTGTATAGACCAGGGCCAGAGAGGAGGCGGGTGGTTCAAGCAGCAAGTCTAACTTAGGCATCTGGATCCACTGTCACAGAGGTCTAAGAGTAAGCCTGGCTGTCTTGAACAGGAGATAACTGATGGATAGATTTCTTTTCTTCCTCATTGTTGACTGGTGCAGTGTGAAAGGGTCATTGGATTTGGAATCAGAAGACTCTTGTTGCAAGACAACTTCAGTACTGATGATCTCTGTGACCTTGACAAATCAATCATTTGATTGATCACTTATTTGGAAAACAGACTATACCTTTTCTCTATCCTCATAGGGTTTTGAGGTTTCAGATAAACTGAAGTATGTTGAACTGCTGTTCTTAGTTCTGTCCCTGTTCACAAATGTTTCCTGATGTCTGTAGACTAGAGGGTGGTGTGCCACATTTGCAGCTGAGCCATGCAGGGAATGTGTGTTATAGATCAAGGCAGAGCTGTGGGAAGGGAAGGGGTAGCTGGTTATTTTGAGGGCTCTTTAAACTATTTCTGCTATGTTTGAGCCCAGGGAAGCATTTGCCACTGATACTTTGATATGTGCTGGCAGTGTTTTCTAATTAAAGTTTGCCATCCCCACCATGTAGACAGTCTATGTATGCTTTTAATTTAGAATTTCTTAATGTGAATAGCCGTTTGGGGCAGAACTTGAGAAAAGGCATGCAAGAATCAAGTTTGCTATAGCCGTATATTTTGAAGAAAAGTGTTTTAGAAATCTTAAATAAAAACACCATTGATGACATTAGTGTTAAAATTTCATCAAAGTTAT